GAGAAATAGAACCCTGAGGGTAAAACCTATTTCTTATAGTAAAGTCAACCAGAAATCAACAATCCAGATCAAAGGCAAGACACCAATCAAAGGGTTGTTAACACACTGATACACCATAAATAAATGAATTATTTCCTAGCCCACTTCTCTAGGGCGATGTGCTGAGAGTATATAGCAAAACATCCTAGTGACAAGAAATTGATTAATGCTCATGTCCCCCATTACTTTTTCAGTTAACTCCAAGTATTTCACTTCTTATGAACCCCAACGACATCCTTACAGGCCGACCAAGATCACTGATGGATTCCCCAGCTCTTTCGGCGCCTGACAAAACCTTGGGGTAAACTGTTTTGTATTGTCCAAAGGTCCAAATCGCCAAGGTCCAATCCATCTCAAATCCACTCCACTTGACCCAATGTTTAAAATTAACTAACACGAATTCAAGGTACATTATCTGATATTCACTTTTCACTACACTCATCTTGAATCTTGAAGTGACTTGGGTGTTGGAGTGCTAACCTAGAAAGTCCACCCCGTGTTGTCGTGACGAAGATCAACACCACCATTTTAAGATCATCAGTTTTTCAACAACATTTATTTCTGATTTCTGAATAAAATAATTATTAATATTATTATTAAGAGTAAGTATTGATTAGTATAATGATGACATGTAAATATAGAAATGACATGACACCCAATCATCTTTGCTATGTAAACGCCATGTTCTTAATAAGAGGGACACATCGTCAAAATTGATGAGGGACTATAAAAATTTCAAAAACTATTTAATAAAGGGATCCCAATATTGATTTTAGAAATGTAGGAATTGAAGTTTTATTTTTGAATAAAGTATATAGAACAAAAAGACATTTAAATCAAAGTATAAATATTTAGAAAGATAAAAAAATAAAAATAAAAAAGAAAAAAATGAAAGAAAATAAAGAAGAAAGAAAGCGAGAATATACAGAAAAAAGAGAAAGAGATGGGTAGAGTATGAGAGAAGAAGGTTTGAAGCAATTGAGGAAAAAATGAAATTCTACTAGTCAAATTAATAAAATTTGAGTATTGTTAAAAGTTATTATTAAGTAAATGTTAAAAATAGGGGTGGAAATAAGTTGGGTCGAGTTAGTCCTTGTCAAGCTTAAGCTTGGCCTGACAAAAAAATCGAAGTCTAAGCTTTACATGTAGTTTATCATAAGCTTATTTTTAGGTCTGAGTCTGATCTTTTTGAAAGTCTAGTTGACCTATTAGTTTACATAAAAGTCTATTTAATTTAGGCATATGTGAATAAACAATTCAAATAATGTTTAAATAGACTAAAAAACTAGAAGACCATTGAGACTAAATTTGTTTGCATTGACTTATTTTAATTTATCTATTAACATAAGTTTTTTGAGACTATTTGTTTAAGAGAACTCACGAAAATAACTTATGACATTGTTAATAAGGTGTTTTCATCTTATTTTCATAAGTTCTCCGAGATAATCAAGTTTTATTTATGTATTTTAATCAATGGCGGATCCAGAAATATTTGGTTGTGGGGGCAAATTTTTTTGTTGTATACATCAAAATAAAAAAATATGTCTATTTGAACTAGAATATAGAATTCTACATAAAATATTATCGCAGTCAAACCACTAAGATATAAGAGTAAGAACGATATTTTAAAAATTCTCCAAATAAATCTATAATACGTAGAATAATGTTTTCGCTTAAATTTTCTTTTCTATAAAATTTAATAATTATACATTCACAATATACATTTTTATACGTACATTTAATTAAATCATATTTTAGGTAAATATTTGTAAATTTATGAACTAATCTATAAAAATAACTCTTTCGTAATTAAATGTACGAGTAAACAAATTTTACGCCATCAACACATAACAATTAATTTCTATTTTATATGGTGATGTGTGTTTAAAGCTAAATAAATGGATTATTTAAACATAATAATCAAAATTAACATTAATTGATTTATATAGATAACATACTTTTTATGGAAACAAATTAAAAAAAAATTAAGATAACTTTAATTAAAAAAAATTCTTTGTGGGGGGCTCAAGCCCCCTTGACAAACTATGTGCATCCGCTCCTGATTTTAATTAAAAGTACAAAATATAATATAATGATAATAAAAAAATTATTTATATTTATTTAAATAAGTTGACTTAATAGACTTAAAATGTTTTTTTTATGGTCGGATACCTGACATTTTTAACTAAATAGGCTTATAAAAAATCTATGTCTTTTATATTTAAATTTTTTTTACCTAACTTAAACTTTTTTTATCCGTAATTAAAAAAAAGAAGAAAAAAAGCAAATAGTTACCTAGTTATTACGATTTATAAAAAGAACCATATGACAAATTGTTTGCACTAAACAATGTAGAAATTTTATTTTACTGCATTTACAAATATCGTTTAAATTTTTTGCATATACATTAAAAATACAAAAAATTTATTAAAAAGTACTCAAATTTATTATATTAATCTCATTAATACGTTAGAAGTAATATATATTTTAATAATAATAAAAAAAATAAAAAAATATAATAGTTATTTTTTACATTTTCAATAAAAATAATATTCATTTCAATAAATTTTATTTGATAAAATAACATGTATTGTGAAATCGTAAATTACTCACTTCGTTTTATAAAGTTAAATTACAGTTTTGATTCCCCTATTTTACGTGATTCACGAAATTAATCTCTCTATTTTAAATTTAAATAATTTTGTTCTTCTCTCATGTTTTTTTATAGAAAATGAATGAGATATTCGTTTTTAACTTATATTTTTATCTATAAAATTTTATAGTAGATTTATATACGATAATTTGTTATGTTTCACAATAAATATGTTATTTAAAAAAAAATATCGTTAACTTGAAGTGCGAAAATATGAAAGAAGATCAAAAGCTATTTAAATTTAAAATAGAAAAACCATTTTTCTAAACGAGGTAAAATAGGAGACCATTAATTAAACATATTATAAATTACTTAAAAAATTCATACTCAAAAAAAAAAACACACATACACACACATGTGTGTATATATATATATATATATATATATATATATATATATATATATATATATATATATATATATATATATATATATATATATATATATATATATATATATATATATATACATATATACATATATATATATATATATATATATAATATATATATATATATATATATATATATATATATATATATATATATATATATATATATATATATATATATATATATATATATATATATATATATATATATATATATATATATATATATATATATATATATATATATATTATATATAATATATTATATATCTATATATATATATATATATATATATATATATATATATATATATATATATATATATATACTATATATATATATATATATATATATATATATATATATAATATATATATATATATATATATATATATATATATATATATATATAATATATATATATATATATATATATATATATATATATATTATATATATATAATATATATATATATATAATATATATATATATATATATATATATATATATATATATATATATATATATATATATATATATATATATATATATATATATTAATATATATATATATATATATATATATATATATATATATATATATATATATATATATATATATATATATATATATATATATATATATATATATATATATATATATATATATATATATATATATATATATATATATATATATATATATATATATATATATATATATATATATATATATATATATATATATATATATATATATATATATATATATATATATATATATATATATATATATATATATATATATATATATATATATATATATATATATATATATATATATAAAATAAATTATTAATTTCATTCTTTATGTTTTTAATTTATTTATTTATTTTAATTATTAATGAATAAAAGTGTTATAAAATAATTTTTAATTTTTTAGAAATAAAATTTAGATTAAGTTGAGTCTTCTTATTTTAAATTTAAACAATTTTAACCATTCTATTTTAAATTTAAATAATTTTGATCTATCATGTTTTTTCTTAAAAAATCATTCAGATGTTCATTTTTTAAATTATATTTTTATTTATAAAATTCAATAATTTTACATACGATAATTTATTATATTTTACAAGTAAGTTGTCATTTAAAAACTGAAAGTATCAATAATTTTATGTGAAAAATATAAAAGTGAAATTAAAATTTAAAGTAGAAATTTAAAACTCTTTTAGTTTTAAAATAACGGATAGTGAATCGTACAAAATAGAGAATGAAAACTCTAATTAAGTTTAAATTAATTATATAATTTTTATATATGAAAAAAATTAAAACAACTTATAATAAAAAAATAGAGATGGTCGAATTACTTGACACGTGTAGGTTGTAATTAACGGCAATACGGATCGGTAACTCTCTACGCTCTAACCTGAACTTTATCAGCTTCGGTTCGTTGACGAGCCTGAGCTTCGGAATCTCGTTCATTCAACTGCAGAAAAGCGCATTGAACCAGTTCGAAACTCTACTCATCAAAGTCATTGTGTCACGAACCCTAATTCCCCTTCCTCTCTCATCACCTTCGATCTTATCAGCGATCAAGTGTTAGCTGGTGCCAAATTTGTGTAGTTCACAAGAAACTCTCTGTTTCATGATCGGGAAATGTTTTTTTCTTCCACATTTTGTGATCTCTAAAATTGATCGTGGGTGCATGCATCTCATGATTGGTAATGCGGGATCTTTAATCCATCTATTTGTCTCGTTTCGAGGCTGGTAGCGCATTCTGTGTTCCGAGTCTTTTTATGATTATATTGATTTGATTTTCTCATTGTTTGTTGTGAGATTCAATTGATCTCAATTGTTCTATATCTTGTCCAATTTAGTGATTTGCTGTAGTTAATTTTGCTTGTGAAAGGAAACTATGGCGCAGAGTAATTGGGAAGCTGATAAGATGTAAGTGTATTCATTTATGTTTGATACAAAATTAATAGTTAATTGATCCGTATAAAGAATTTCATTTAGTATTTATTCTTGTCTTTTTCTGTTAGGCTTGATGTTTACATATATGATTATTTGGTGAAGAAAAAATTGCCCATTACTGCCAAGTCTTTTATGACAGAAGGGAAGGTTTCTCCTGATCCAGTAGGTGAGAGTTTGTTAAAGTAGTAGTTTAGTGCTATTTCGTTAACCTGATTACTTAATTATATAAAAATGGTAAGTTAGTACCATGTCCACGTTGTGTCGCCTGGGTGGAATATTTATAGATTAATTATAACACAATTGATTATAGCTAACACTGAAAATGCAGCAATTGATGCTCCTGGAGGTTTTCTTTTTGAGTGGTGGTCTGTTTTCTGGGATATTTTTATTGCAAGGACAAACGAAAAACATTCTGAGAATGCTGCAGCATATTTAGAGGTACCTCTCTTTTCTTCATTTGGCTTTAGTGGAACTAGATACAAAAATGATTAACGAGCCTTCACGTAATAGTTAGCCTTAACCTAAATGATATTGTTTTTATCGGATTAAAATAAATAGAGTAGTGATTATATACTCTTTCCTAAATTGCAGACTCAGCAGATTAAAGCTAAAGAACAACAATTGCAAATGCAGCAGTTGCAATTAATGCGTCATGCTCAGCTGCAAAGAAGGGATCCGAATCATCCTCCCATTGGAAGTCCTCTAAATGCTATTGCTACAGAAGGAGTGCTAGGGCAATCTACTGCCACTGCTTTGGCTGCAAAAATGTATGAGGATCGGATGAAGAACTCTAACCCTATGGATACGGAGACATCCCAACCACTTTTAGATGCTAGAATGGCCCTTTTGAAATCAACAAATCATCCTGGGTAATACTATTTTAAAATTGCATTGAAATTGAAATATATGTAGTATGTAGTCTTGTACATGTTTATGACTTTTCTGCCTTTTGCCCAAACAGTCAGATGGGTCAAGGAAATTCAGTAAATGTGACAGCAGCTTTGCAGCAAATGCAGGTTCGAACTCAGCAAATCCCTGTATGTGTTTTCTTTGCTTGGTCTTGCTTTTAACTTCCTTCTTTCCTTTCCTCCTTCCTTCCTTTATATGTACTCTATATTTTAATGTGTTCATCTCTAATTTTTCCTCCTCAGCACGATATCAAAAGCGAAGTCAACATGGGAAACATGCAGAGATCCTTACCTATGGATCCTTCTTCAATTTATGGGCAGGGTGGAATGCAGTCAAAGTCTGGAATCACAAATGCAGGTTTGAACTGCCGGGGAAAAGTGAATTTAAAGAATATCCGAAGTTTTTATGAATTAAAATTTACAGCACTTCATATCATGTAAAACAGGCAACAAAACACTACTTATTTATTTTGCTTGTGCAGTTTTGGGTGTCTGCATGGTTCATTTGTCATAAAGTTCTTGAAGATTTTTATTTTTATTTCATCAATTATGGTTATAACAAAATCTCCTCACAATTTCATCAAATAATCACCTTTCTAGGTTTCAATAATTCTCTTCTCCATTTTCAGGATTAAATCAGGGAGTTGGTGGTCTCACATTAAAAGGATGGCCATTAACCGTGAGTTTTGCTATGAGCCTTTAGTTCACCTTTAGATATTCGTCAATTTATCTGATCTGGTTTAAATCAATAATCATATCAGGGCATAGAACAAATTCGCCCGGGTTTTGGAGCTCAAGTTCAAAAGCCTCTTCTTCAGAGTGCAAATCAGTTTCAGCTTTTGCCACAACAACAACAACAGCAGCTCCTTGCACAGGTACATGCACAAGGAAATATCGGCAATTCACAAGTGTATGGAGATATGGACCCACAACGATTAAGGGGATTATCTAGGGGAGGTTTGAATTTGAAAGACAGCCAGCCAATTGCAAACGATGGGTCAATAGGTTCTCCAATGCAATCTACTTCATCTAAGGTATCATTTATTCTATGCATCTTGCCTGGCCTCATGCTACATGAACTTGATAATTACTCTATAATAGAAGAATTTGCATGATTTCAATTTATAAGTTTGCTTTATGCTTTTTGCTATCCTGAGCATTGAATGATTTGGATGTGTTTGTGGATGATCCGTAGGTTATATTTTCACATGAACAATTGTTAGGACTAGAGAATCATAATTAGTTAATTCTTTTAGAGCCAACTCATAAATGAATTCATAACCGAATTCTGACAGAAGGAAAAGGGAGAGAATTGGGCCAATGCAAGGGAAACCCAGCCTATATTCCTAAAAACAATTATCGTTCCCTACTTACTTGACTATTCTTTCACTCGACTACGTTCTATTTACATATTCACATCTGAATATTTAGTTCCTCTCAGCATACAAATGGCCATTTTAGAATTATAATAAACACTTTATTTATGGTTGAAAAACAAACACTTTATATCTATTTGTTGATATTTTTTGTTTCTATTATTTTTTAAGCAGATCAACATGCCACAGATACAACAGTCCATCTCCCAACAACAGCAGGATCCTTTACACCCGCAGCAACTGGGTCAGGTGTTTTTTTTCTTCTTTTTTTTGCTGTTGTGTTTGTTTACAAAAATGAGCTGTGTTATTTTGACACAAAATTGAATAACAAATTTGACAACAATTACGATGGTTAATGTAGTTCAAATACATGGTTAATTACGTTTAGTAGATAGATGTTTAATGATAGGATCCCCACACGAGAAGGTGGGCTCATAGGGACACCTTTCACATCAGTTGTCCAAGCCTAGCCTATATTGTGGAGAGTTTTTGTTAAGAGAAAAACAAAATGGGAATATCCACATGGCTGAGAGTGAGAAGAGGAAATGAGAAATGAATTGTGTAAGGGAATGCCTTTGCACATACAATGTCACTATCTCTACTGAAGTCCGCCTACTTTGTGGTCCACCGGAGCCGTCTATTTCATCGCCATCAAGGAAGCCACCTTCCGGAGGTTCACTTGAGGTGGTCCATCCACAACCTCAAAGGAAAAAGGCATGTATATGTGCAACGACAAAGGAGCCCATTTTAGGCGAGAAGGTACCTTTCAGGACTGTCCAGCTCATAAAGTTCTAGAGGAGGCAGGGGAAAAATGGGTAGTTGGTGAGCTGCGTATTATTTTAAATCTGATGGGCAGACCCAAAATAGCTCTAGTTTATTGGAAAAAGAAATTACAACTTTTAAAATAGTTAGCCACTGAAGCCAACCCAAATTGGTGATATTGATAACATATGGATTCAAGAAAAAAGGGGGCTTGGTTATCCTAAATTCAATTTTAATTTTTGTGGGCTTGCCTAGGGACAACATTTATGTTGAATCTGAAGAGAACACACAAACGGTGTTCTCTTTTGCAGAAATATCCGGTGAGTACATTGTCCCCCTCACGAGGCCCTACTTGAAGTTTGTGAAACCATCTAAGCCAAAGTCCAATTGGGGAATTGGGTTGCTGAATATATTGCCAAAGACAATGAAACAAGTGGGGCAAATCATAAAAGAGAATAATGGGCATCTGTGGAGGAGTCCGTCATCATCACATTACTCGGAGCTTGCGTAAAAACAGTGGACATGTATGGATCTTTCTAAGTTCAACCGATAACCATATTTCTTAATGAACCCAGTGTTGTTATGGACGCAGAAATGCAAAAGAAATGTCCCCCATTGCTCCTAACTCCCATGTGAGCAGCTCTGCTCTCCATGGTATTTGTCAAGTTATTCAATGCAGGTGCTTGTAGGAAGCTCCAAATAGCTGTTCCTTCTGTGGGTCTGGTTGGTGGGTTGGAGTTACATATTTATGTGATGGAGTCACATATTTATGTGAGTAATTGTTTCTTTTTGATTTACTCCAAATTTAGGGACATTAAAATTGCAAGGTTACTGTTTGCTAAAACATTTGTGATGGATTTTAGTTCTCGGAGAATTGTGATATCAAGGTACGTTAAGAATGGCAAGGTAGTGAATACTTGGAGGTTTCTAATGACATAAGAGTTTGTGATATCAAGGTACGTTAAGAATGGCAAGGTAGTGAATACTTGGAGGTTTCTAATGACATAAGAGTTTGGGTCGATGGAGAGGAAACTATCATGCTGATCCTCATCTGATAGAACAGAGGTATGATATAATATGATAAAGAAAAGTATTTTATTAATGAATGTGAAAGTAAAATAAATTCCAGAGCTACTGCTCCTCAGTCAGAGAAACAATTCTCTCACTGCCCAAACCCTAGTATCAAAAACAGAAAATCAATCAATGCCTAACTACTGCCCCATACACTCCTTTTTATATGGAGAATAATCCCTAAACTAACTCCTATTTATATGGAGAATAATACCTAAACTAACTCCTATTTATTTGTGGAGTTTCCTATTCTTTCTCACATATACCCTCCATTGTTTAGGTCCAATAATATCTCTATTAACTAACACATTCCATTATCATTTGTGGGATCCGATCCATTCCTATCACCACCCCCACCTACAACATTAGCCTTGTCCTCAAGGCGCAGATCAGGGAATTGACTCTTCAGCAACAGTTCCTCTTCCCAGGTAGCATCTCCAACATCCATCCCTTCCCATTGAATCAACCATTCTCTCTTATGTTGTCCACCATCAAATTTGTCCCTCCATGACACAACCTTAGCCGGAGTAATGTCCCCTTTTTCTGACTCTAAACTGATAGGTAGCTGAATTGTAGCAGTATAGTTGCCCACCGCTTTCTTCATTGCGACACATGAAAGGTAGGATGTATTTTAGATGTTGGTGGTAACTTCAACTTATAAGCAACCTGTCCTATCTTCTTTAGGATTTGATACGGACCGAAAAATCTAGGGGCCAGTTTTTGATGGATTCTTTGCACAACCGATTGTTGTCGATGAGGACGTAATTTGAGGAAAACCCAATCACCCACCTCAAATTGCACTGCCTTGCGTTTCTTGTCAGCTTGGAATTTCATGTCCTCCTGGGCTTTGAGTAAATTAGTTTTTAATTGACGCAACGCCTCATCTCTGTCCCTTAACTCCTGTGCTACAACTTCCACTCTGGTTTCACCCTCCAAAAAATGCACCAACACTGAAGGTTTTCTATCATATACCACCTCGAAAGGGGTGAACCCGGTAGACACGTGAAATGTGGTATTGTACCACAGTTTTGCCCATGGAATCCAGTGTGCCCATGTCTTAGGTTGATCTGCAATAAAACAACGTAGATAGGCCTCTAAACAACGATTAATTACTTCTGTTTGACCATCCGTTTGGGGATGGTATGCCGAGGACATTTTAAGCACCGTACCTACTAATTTGAACAACTCTTTCCAAAAAATACTCACAAACAAGGGGTCACGATCACTAAGAATAGACTCCGGAATGCCATGTAATCTAACCACTTCCTTCACAAAAACAGCAGCTATTGAGCAAGCAGTAAATGGATGTTTAAGAGGAATGAAATGGCTGTATTTGGAGAGACGGTCCACCACAACCAATATAGCTTCAAATCCATTACTTTTTGGCAAACAAGTGATGAAATCCATGGATATCTCACTCCACACCATAACCGGAATGGGAAGAGGTTGTAGTAATCCATTAGGAGTCGTTGCCGCATATTTTGTGCGTAGGTAGCCGGAGTGACCCCCACTTGGAGAAGAATGAAAATTTTTGAGTAACTCCTCAATAAGTGGTGAGTTAGCCGGTATAACTAACCTATTTTTGTAGAATAAGATGCCACCTTTTAAAGCAAAACCAGGTTTAGCATTAGGATCCTTTTGAATAGCTTCCATAATATTTTTAAGCAAACGATCATTTGATACTTCTTGTTGTAGTTGGCTGCTCTGCTGCCAAATAGGGTAGGATTTAATCGCTTACATTTCAGCATTCTCGTGCTGTCTAGATAAAGCATCAACCACTTTATTTTCCACTCCCACCTTGTACACCACCTCAAAGTCAAAACCCAATAACTTAGCCATCCATTCTTGCTGATTTGCTGTGGTAATACGTTGTTGCAACAAGTGTTTTAGGCTCTTTTGATCAGAATAAACCACAAACCTCCTGCCTAACAAATAATGTCGCCAATGTTGAATAGCTAACACTAAAGCCATTAACTCCTTATCATAGGCAGATTTGGATAACCTAGATGATTCAAAAGCCTTGCTAAAATATGCAATGGGATGCTTCGATTGTAACAATACTGCACCAACTCCTTTTCCCGAGGCATCACATTCAATTTCAAAGGAGAACTTGAAATTAGGCAAGGCTAAAACTGGGGCAGTTGTAAAAGCTACTTTCAATTTCTCAAAAGTTTCGGCAGCTGCCGGATTCCAGCTAAAACCATCCTTCTTTGTCAATTCTGTTAAGGATTTAGCAATTTTTCCATAATTCGCTATAAACTTTCGGTAATAACCCGTCAACCCCAAAAAACCTCGCACTCCTTTGACATTCCTAGGAATAGGCCATTGTAACACACTGCAGACCTTGGCAGGATCAACAACAACCCCTGCTTTGGAAATGACATGGCCCAAATATTCTACTTGGTGCTGACCGAAAGTGCATTTCTTCCGATTTGCCACAAACTGATGCTGCTTCAGAATATTAAGAACCACCTCCAAGTGCTGTAAATGTTCATCCCAACTACTACTGTATACTAGGATATCATAAAAAAAAACCAGGACAAATTTCCTTAGAAAGGGCTTGAAAATTGCATTCATCACTGATTGAAAAGTTGCAGGAGCGTTGGTGAGGCCAAACGGCATTACCAAAAACTCATAGTGACCCTCATGAGTCCGAAAAGCAGTTTTATGAATATCCTCTTCCTTCATCCGAATTTGATGATAACCGGATTTAAGATCAAGCTTAGAGAAATAACTACAACCATGTAACTCATCTAACAATTCATCTACAACCGGAATAGGATACTTGTCCTGAATTGTGACGTTGAGTGCACGGTAATCTACACACATACGCCAAGATTGATCCTTCTTGACAAAAATGACGGGACTAGAGACGCGCTGGTGCTGTTTCTAACCACCCCTTGTTGCAATAGGCTCTGAATCTGTTTTTCAATTTCATCCTTGTGTAAATGAGGATATCTGTAAGGTCGCACACTTACCGGACCCGCACCCTGGAAAAGGTCAATTGAATGACTAGTGTTTCTTGACGGAGGAAGACCTTGGATTTCTTTAAACACAATAACAAAATGCTCCAGCAATCCTTCCAACTCCTTAGTCTGTTGATCCGAGACACACGACACCGGTGACCCTAACACCTCCATCAAGGTAGGCCATTCACAGCCTGCTATCATTCGAGAAGGAGTGATAATGCTTTGGAAAGTAGCCATCTTATCATCTACAGCCTGACCAAGTAGTTTCACCATCCTGCCTTTATGGTTGAACTCCATAGACATTTCTTTCCAATCCATGGTCACCTTCCCCAACGTTTCTAGCCACACAACTCCTAAAATCAAATCCACACCTCCTAACTCCAACACATAAGCATCAAAGCAAATCTGCACTGATCCCACTTTCATCTGAATTCCATTGCATCTACC